AAACAGGGCAGAGATCATCAGAACTGGAACTACTATTTGTCAGTCTCGTGTTAACACTAGGTCTTTATGCTCTAGATTTTACCTAAAGGTTTGAAGGAGAGATCGGGTGCTGAGCCACCATCCGAAAGAATATAATTCAAAATGTCAGTAATCCAAGTCCTGCCTTTCCTTGTGCCGTTAAGTCTTAGTGACCCTCGACTGAGAAGTTATAACAGGTGGTTTCTTAACCTGGCTTGCACATTCACAAGCTTATATCTCGCTAACTTGCTTAATAACTTTCCTAATTATTAATCCTTGATTAAAAATACGAAAGGGAATAAGCCAAATAATTATATATATATATATATCTATCTATAAATTTTCGCCTTTTGTTGAGTATAGAGAAAACGTAGGATATACCCTGCCAGTCTTATTTATCTAGGATTAACATGAGACTTTTATAAGAGTGAGTTCTAGCTTTAAGGATATTCATCAATGGTGGATGAAACCTCATCCTGTTTTCGTCCTAAACGAGAGAGGATGTCTCGTTAACTGAGTCAACATAAATTTTGTACTAAAATCAAACTGCTGGGGAGCAATGGTAATCAGCTGTTGTCCTCCGGTGAGATTAACCAACTAATTTGTTCATCATTGTCTTTCCCATGAAATAAAAGTCTTCGCAATCACTTGATCATAAGAGATTCATTTAAACTTAACTACTCTTTGTATTTATTCATTATTACAAATAAAGACACCTCTACAGCTTACTTAAGCATAACAAAAGTATTTTACATATGGTTCACATAACATTAATCAAGTATTTAAGTGAAATTTACCTATTTTCCTCCTCAGGAGTTTGCATGTGCTTAGGCGCGGGCTGTTGACAAGTACAACACAATTGTTCATTATTAAGATGAAGGTCCTCCATCCAACCAGGCAAGCCACAGCAACCTGTTCCGGAGCCAGAAGATTCAAAAGTGTTTGAATTCAATACATCTTGAGTTAGAAAAGTCGAAGTGCAAGAAATTCGGGGGAGAGGAAGCCAATTAAACGAACGACAGACGGCGTCCACATCAAAGGCATGATCAAGAGCCGGCTCTAGGCACCCAAGCAACCGCTCCTGCTTGCAAATTCGGGTGCGTAAAACAGATCACTAATAGTTTAAAGAATTTAATATTCTTAAGATTATCTCAGCCCATTGAATTAGAAAATACAAACGTGT